CGAGGAGTGAGCTCTTCCTGGGATGGTCAGGAAAAGCAGGGGTGGATTTGAGCTGGGCTCTGAAGGCTGGGTAGGATGTGGGGCAGAAGGGAAGCGTATAAGGAGTAGAATGAGCTGGGCCCAGAGAGAAGGTGGGTCTGGCTGGAGTGGAAAGTTATGCCTGGCATCTGGGCATTGAGACTAGAGAGGGAAGCCTGGCCCTGTTTGCGTCGCCCTGAGTGCCAGGTAAGGAGTGCGGGCTTGATCCATGGCACAGCCCTTCCTGCTGTGGCCCAGAGGTTGGCCCAGAGCTCTCTGAGCGGATGGCATTGGTGAGAACGTGTTCTCACGGTTTTCCCTCCAGAGGGAACCGTTATCAGTGTTTGCCTTGTCTTCCTGGACATGAGACTTTTCTGCACGTTCAAGGTGCAGACAGTAGAGACTTGGGGTTCTGGGGCCTCAGGATTTCGGCATTGGCCTGGGTTGTCCTGAGTTAAGCCCTGGATTCAGAGTCGACGAGGCCTTCCAGCTGTTGTAGAGCAAGTGAGAGGTGCTGCTGGGCCCGCACAGTGGGGAGTGGGGAGCACAAAGATCCCCCTTCCCCACCTCCTCCCAGAGACCCCATTGCTCTTACTAGCTGTCACCCCGACATTACAGCCCTGTTCCTCATACTCTTTCATCATTCAGTCCTGTGAGACTTTGTGGTCCTCAGAGCTCCCTAAACACCATTCAGATCCATACCACTCACCATTGCAGATCACTCTTACCTTCCGGGGCTCCTTACAGCCACCAGAATTCAGTTCCAGTTCCTTGGCCCGGCAGCGTCTCCTCCACCTGTGCCCGTTACTCTGCCAAACCAAATGCCTCTCCCTTCCTCCGAGCCTTTGTTCATGCTGTTCCTCTGTCCTGGCTGCTTGGTCCTGAACAGCTCCGGAATGAACACCTACTCGTCCCTCAGAACCCCATCACATGCTAGCCCCACGGAGCCACACCTAATTCCCTTTCTTCCAGAGATGCTAGTCATTCTCTTTCCTGCTTGCACTCTCCTCACCAAAGGTGTTTTCTTTTTCTGTTTTGCACGAAACTTATTGTGAACTCTCTTGTTTTCTCTCCCCACGCTCCACCTGAGCCCCTCAAGGGCAGGAAATGTATCCCGGAGCCCGGCTTGGAACAGGGAAGAGTGCCCTTCCCAGTCGCTCAGGGACCATTTGTGACCTGAAACAAGGAGACAGGCGAGGAGGGTTTCCAGCATGGCCTGTGCTGCAGGGCTGGGTGTTTGGATCCCCTGCTGAAACCACGTCCTCACTCCCACCCTGGTGCTGCTCGGTCTGACCTGTGCGGAGCAGAAGCGTGGCCCAGCCTCCTTGGGCTTGGGCGTGCTGTTGGCAGGCAGAGCTCCCAGCAGGCTGTCTGACAAGAGGGAGGCTGGATGATTTCCCCTGGACTCCTCAAGAACAAGGAAACACAGGTTCTAGCTTTGTGTGGACTACAAGTCATTCTCAGCTCTCAGACTGTTCACTAATTCCTTAGGCAGTGTGAGATCTCAAATTCAACCTCTTAGGGTTTAAAAAGTTTGCTGCTGCATTGGCCGGGAATCGAACCCGGGCCTCCCGCGTGGCAGGCGAGAATTCTACCACTGAACCACCAATGCTCCAGCTGTCAGCAGCTGTGTGAGCACCTCCCTTTAATTCCAGTCCTGACTGGATATATAGTGACTTGAAACATAAGGCCAGGGTGTAAATCTGCCACATCAGCACAGCTGGAAGAACAGGAAGCTTATGTGAAGGCAGGAGAGAGAGAGAGAGAGAGAGAGGGAGAGAGAGGGAGAGAGAGAGAGAGATGCCTTCAGACCTCAGAACAGAAAGTAGAGCTCAAGTCCTCAGTAGCAAAAAGCACATTGCAACTTTGGGTGACTTTCTCCCCTCTGATGTCTCTAATGGGTGGGTCCTTCCATTCCATGTCCACGTGTTTGTTGAGCTGTTTTAAGGTTCTCGGATTTCACCACAGTTTCCTGCCGGAAACTGGCCAAGGTTGAGGGGGCGCAGCAGGAGTCCCCTCACTGGTGAAGGGCGTGAGGGCCTCTACCACAGCCAGCAGTGCCTCTTGAGAACCTTAGTGTTGCTCACGCAGTGTGGTTGGGTTCACAGCCCTTGGGCTGCTGCAGGCCCAGGCCGGGCAGGGTTGAGGAGACTGGCTCCTCCAGCGGGACCTCTGTGTGAGGAGGAAACCTGCCAGGGAGGGGCAAAAAGAGCAGCACTGCATTGGCCGGGAATCGAACCCGGGCCTCCCGCGTGGCAGGCGAGAATTCTACCACTGAACCACCAATGCTCCAGCTGTTTGCTGATGCATCTTCAGGGCTTTTCTCAGGGGACTGTATCTTATTGAGGCACAGAAGAGGCCTGACTGATGTCGGCCTCACCTGGCTGGTTTGTCCTGTTTGGAAAGCCAGACTGGTTTATATAGAACCGCCCTTGCTGGGCCTTATTATGCTGCTTTGGGATGACCGGAGGCACTGCTAGTCAGGAGTGACTTCCACCCCACCTAACCTTGCTCCTGCAGGGCAGATAACATCTTCTTGGCTCTTACCTCTGACCCTGTGAATCAGAGGGTGGCCTATAAGTGGCCCAGGGCTGAGGTGGCCTCAGAGGCACCCTATAGGGTGGGTGCAAAGCAATGGGTGAACCCCTAATGCCCACCCAAAGCTAGGGAGTAGAGACAGAGGCTCCTGGTTCTATCTGCTGAGTCAGCCAGCAGCTGGGACTGGGGCTGTGAAACTGACATTGAGTTTCCACCCGGAGGCCTTTGATTTATCCATAACCTCAGTCCCTGGGTGGGCTTGGTGGAATCGCATTCTCTAAAGATCAAAGGAAGAGGCACCTCACAGGCCATTGCACGGCCCCTTGCAGACATGCCCGGCTCTGCGCTCACATCCACCGGCTCAGGAACCAGCCAGTTTTGTTCACCTGTTCGCACAGTGCCCGGCACAGAAGAGGTGCCCCATACAGCTTGCTGCATTAAATCTCTACCGAACCCTGCCCAACCCCTCATCGAACAGCGTTTTTGCAGGAATGGTCACTGCCTCATAGGATAGCATGTTTATCTTTGATCAGCCCTAATTACTAGCAGGTTCCTGACACTGAGCTGGAACCACATAGACTAATGGGTACCTTTCGGACTTGATGGTCTTTAAAATTCTTCAAGCAAACTTGAGACCCCCATTTATGCAACAGGCAAGCAGTGTACCTGCCATGATGGGCACAAAGCGATCAGACAGAGAGTCTAGGCAGCTGCTTTGAAAAGTCCCTAATCCCCAGACCACCCTCATCCCACCTTCATCTGCTGCACTGGTCCCTTGTGCCTCAATAATGGATGGTCTTCCCCTCCCCATCCATCTCGGGCTTCTTCATACTCTTTCTGAAGGACATCGTGTCTCAGCCTTTGTGTCCACTGGCTCTGAAAACAGAGTCTGGTCCCCGGTGGACCTGAGCCTCCTCTACGCTCCCCCACTCGGGCAGGGCTGCCTTGGGAGCATCCCCTAGGTGACCACAGGCGCCATGCCCAGACCGCCCTCCTCCCTGTTAGCATCCCTCACCAGGTAGACACCTCAGAGCCATATCTATACTTCCTCTCCTGTATTACATGGGCTTCCCAGGGAGAGGCAAAAAGAACAGCACTGCATTGGCCGGGAATCGAACCCGGGTCTCCCGTGTGGCAGGCGATGTTGTAGAGGGCCTCGCAGGCATAGTAGAAAGTAAAACAGTCCCTGTTCTTTCCCCTGGCCTCAGCCACACTCAGCCTCTCCTTCCGGACCCTGCTCACTGTGGGGCTCTCCTGTGGGGATTTTCATTGTCCTTCTGTCAGCCCAGCCTTCCCAGGCTACCAGAAGAAGCACTGCATTACAGCCCGGATCTGAGCCTGTCACCCCACTGCTGGAAAACTGGCACGGGGTTGTCGTTTCCTGTAACTGTCTCTGGTCACTCCTTCCGCACACCAGACTCCTCGTCCTTTCCTAAACGTGGTGTCTTTTCAGAGCTCCTTGCCTTTGCTTCCCTGTCCCTGCGATATGATGCCATGCCTTCCTCTCCCTTTACCTGAAAAATGCCTATTGATCTTCCTAAGATCTGGCTCAAATGGCACCTGCCAGGCAGCCCAAGAAAGTTAGCCCGTGGCATTTTTCTTGCTTCTGTAGCATCAGTGTGGCTTCTGTGGCCACACTGCTACCGTTTCATGGTTGTTTGTGTGTGGACCTTGCCCATTGGACGGGAACCTGGTTCAGCACCATCCCTGGAAATAATGACTCAGACCCAGAGAACCTCTGGCCCTCTGGCGTGCCCGAATGGAGGGTTGAGCAAGTGTTGAATAAAGATGGTTGATCAGCCGAAATCGGTTTGGCTCAGTGGATGTGGCGTCGGCCTGCGGACTGAAGGGTCCCAGGTTCGATTCCAGTCAAGGGCATGTACCTGGGTTGCGGGCACATCCCCAGTGGGGGATGTGCGGGAGGCGGCTGATCGATGTTTCTCTCTCATCGATGTTTCTAATTCTCTATCTCTCTCCCTTCCTCTCTGTAAAAAAATCAATAAAATATATTTAAAAAAAAAAAAAGATGGTTGATCAACTGACAACTCGCATTGTCGCTTTTGTTCTCCAACAAGACATTCATTTGCATTATGTCAGATTCCCAGAAGTGAAATAGCCCCTGTTCCTCATTCTGTTGTCCACTAAGGGAAACTGAGAACCGTTCACTTGCGTTCTGCCAGATTCCCAGAAGTGAGATGGCCCCACTGTTCCTCACTCTGTTGTACACAAAGGGAAACTGAGACCCAGAATAGGGAACAACCGTGACCCAGCCAGTGCCTCCCAGACAGCAGCAGACCTGGGAAAGGTCTACCCTGACATGCCTGCTCCCAACTCCTCTTTCTAAACCGGTCATCTCTCCCCCTCCTGCCAGCCCCAGGCCCTGGAGCAGCAGCCGGGATAGGCTGGTCGCACTGGTCCTGCAGCCCCTCTCCCTCTCTCTCCAGGCTGGTCCGGGAGTTCGTGGCCCAGAACAACACCGTGCAAATCAAGCATGTGATCCAGACCCTGTCTCAGGAGTTTGCCTTGTCTCAGCACCCCCACAGTCGGAAGGGGGGCCTCATCGGCCTGGCTGCCTGCTCCATCGCGCTGGGCAAGGTGGGCCTTTCTCCTGCAGGGACAGACACACCAGTCATGGCCTTGACTCTGACCCGAGACCCTACAGGGCTTTGCAGACCTGTGTTTTATTGCCGTTCTCTCCACCCTAAAGCAGCCAGGTCTTGCAGCCTTATTCCCTGGGAGGCCAACCTGCAGAGAGTCTTTAAACCTAGCCCCACTCAAAGACCTGGGATGTCAGGTGGCACCGGGGCCTGGGGGGCTAGGGGCTGGCCTTTTTTGACCTGTTTCTCCTCCGCCCCACCCCAGGACTCAGGGCTCTACCTGAAGGAGTTGATCGAGCCGGTGCTGACCTGCTTCAATGACGCCGACAGCAGGCTGCGCTACTACGCCTGCGAGGCCCTCTACAACATCGTCAAGGTGGCCCGGGGCGCCGTGCTGCCCCACTTCAACGTGCTCTTTGACGGGCTGAGTAAGGTGACCGCTCCTCACCTGGCGGGGCTGAGCTCGCTCCACCCCCCTAACTTGACCTTCCAGGACTTGAGGGCTTGGGCCCCTTTTCCCAGATGCAGGCCGAGCAGATAAACACAAGGTTGCCAGGGACACTTGTCTGTTCGATCTAATGATTTTTTTAAAGGGGCTTGTATTTACATATTTTCCCATTTCTCTATTAATTTACCCTTACTGCATTTTATGAAAGTACAGTCCACCGCAGCTTGGAGGGGAAAGCTGATAGTTTGGAAAAGCCTAAACTTCCCTGTAGAAGTGAAGGTGGGGCGTCCGTATACAGACTGTATTTCCCCTGTGGGAGAGCACTAGCCCGGGAGCACTAGGAGAAGCGCTATGTAGGAAGTCCCTAAGGCCCTCCTCCGCTCCGCTCTCAGTGCGTGGAGCTCCCTCCCAGGCACCAAGCTGATGCCATAGTCACTGCTGGGGTATCAGCCTCACGGCTGCCTTGGTCCCCTCCTCCCAGAGTGGAGAGCGGACCTAGCAAGTTAAGATCCAAAACCCTGAGAAAGGCCAACAGGAAGCAGCCTCCTGGCCCAGGGGCAGCGGGTTATGGGACTTCCTGCAGGTACCAGAAGGCCCTGACAGAACCGGATGCCCACCCAATCTCAGTTCCTTAGCCAGGTCCCATTTGCCCATCCCCACTTCCCCTGCCTTCTTTCGATTTGTTCCGAGCTGCGCCAGGGCCTGGCTGTGGGTTTTCCGTCAACGTCTTGACCTCTGCCATCTCTCTCCTCTGTGTCTCTCGTAGTTGGCTGCTGACCCAGACCCCAATGTGAAAAGCGGATCTGAGCTCCTAGACCGCCTTTTAAAGGTATTTGTACTCGATCCCCATTTTTCTTTCTAGAATCTATTTCTCACATCTGTCTGTACAACTTATAAATTCCGTCACTGGGATACTCTCCCTAATTTGTTTAAATTTGTTCATTTACATGCAGTAAAAGTCACTCTTTGATGTACAGTTCATGGATGTTTATCCTTACCTTGGCTGCGCTTGATGAGTGTATGGACTTATGTCACCAGCACAAGCAAAATACAGAACTGTTCTGTCACCCGTTTTCCTCTGTGGCTGCCTGACCCCTGGAGCCAGCCCTGGGCAGGACTTGGGCCAGGTCAGGCAGCCCCTGCCTCTGGCTCACTCCGCAGCTCACGCACCTTTGATCCACAGGACATCGTGACGGAGAGCAACAAGTTTGACCTGGTGGGCTTCATCCCCTTGCTGCGGGAGAGGATTTACTCCAACAACCAGTACGCCCGGCAGTTCATCATCTCGTGGGTAAGGGCCGCCCCCACTTTCTCCAGCCGTGATGAGCCTCTGGCTTGTTCACATCTCCTCTCTGGACCCCTGGCCGGGTCCTGTGGCTGCAGAGGAGCCTCATTTTAATCTCATAGCCAGTGACGCCAGATAATCTGAACACACGTTTATTCAGCTTGTTCCTGGTGAGGATACAATTCTTTCCTTTTTCTGAGACACTCCAGTTTCCCTTGAAAGCCAATAGGCTACTTCTGGCTGTCACACCTCTTCTAGCTTGCCTGTCCCTTCCCATGTACTCCCTGCTCCCCCATGGCATCTGAATTTCCTGGTGGTTACATTACTACTCCCCTGCACTTTTAACCAAAGCCATAGCTGCTAGCACCTTCCGCCCGCATGTGCAGGGGGGCACCTGCAGGGCCAGGAAATGCTGCCTCAGCAGGGCCCCTCCTCACTGCCCAGGCCCAGCGGGTGGGGGAGGAGAAGACGATGGTTCTGGACTGGTGTAACATTCCCTCCTGTTTCTTCCCTTGGGTCAGATCCTGGTTCTGGAGTCCGTGCCAGACATTAACCTGCTGGATTATTTGCCAGAGATCCTGGATGGACTCTTCCAGATCCTGGGTGACAACGGCAAAGAGATTCGGAAAATGTGAGTGGAGGAAGGAGGCGGGCAGCTGCCACCGTCCGGGGCCCCTCAGTGCGCACACGTATCCCACACCAGCAGACAGGCGGCAGCAGAATAAGAAGTTGCTGCTTTTCTTCCTGCTTACGTGCTTCCCACCAGGAGGAGCTAAGCGCTCAGCCCCCCGCCTCTGAAAAACATTCATCTGACAAGTTCAAAGTGTGGTTCCATCTGGGAGGCCAACCCAGGGCAGAAATGGGCCCTGGCTGCCCTGTGCCACGCCCCTTCTCCTCTCTCATTGGCAGGTGCGAAGTGGTCCTTGGGGAATTCTTGAAAGAAATTAAGAAGAACCCCTCCAGTGTTAAGTTTGCTGAGATGGCCAACATCCTGGTGATCCACTGCCAGACCACGGGTGAGTGTGTGAAGGCCCAGGCACCGCCACCCCCTCAGGAGCTCCTTTCTCTCACCCTCTGGGAAAGTCCCGGTAGGGGTGGAACCAGCGCAGCACTGGATCCGGAGCAGAGGAGCGCCGGGTCCTTGTGAGAGAGATCCGGGTTCTCTGTCCACATGGCGGCCCTTTCCTCGGCCGGGCCCGGGAGGGTGCAAAATCTGGAGGCCCTCTTGGTGGGAAGCCCGGCCTTAGCACCGTGAATTGAAATGCTTGGGGTTAGGATTGTGTTTCCGTTAAACGGCTTCTGTTGAGGATCAAACCACTGCAAAATGTAACTGCTGGGCACAGCAGACTTACTATTGGTCACGAGTCTGCGTCCGCTGGGTGGTTCTGCTCACCTGGGCGAGGTGTGGCTGGGCTTGGTCCTCCACCTACAGTCAACTGGAGGGTTAGCTGCAGCTCCGTGGTCTAGGGTAGCCTCCCTCGTGTCTGGTAGTTGGCTGGCTGTCACCTGGAGCAGCAGGTACAGTGGGTCCACGTGTCCTCTTCCAGCAGGGCAGCCCAGTGTACTCATATAGAAGTGAGCAAGGCCTGTGGAAGCTTAGGCTTAAACCAGGCACATCATACGTTACCACCTTCAGTGGCCAAAGTGGCAAGGCCAGCCCAGAGTGAAGAAATGGACTCACCCCTTGATGATAGTAGCTGGGCAGCCCCATTGTGGTGGGCACAGACACAGAGAGGGGTAGAGAGCCGTGGCTGCTCTTACAGTCTGCCACAGGTTGTTGCTCCATTCCAACATGAAACTATGTACCCAGGGGAGGCAGAAAGCAAGGGTGAGAGAGTACTGGTGAGGCCAGCAGCAGCATAAGCCCTTGGGACCTCCCAGTCCCCTCTGTGGCATGGTCCATGGGAGGGAGCATCTCGCTGCTCATGCTGACCGTCCTGGAACCCGCCCCTCCCTCTGCCAGACGACCTGATCCAGCTGACAGCCATGTGCTGGATGCGGGAGTTCATCCAGCTGGCCGGCCGGGCCATGCTGCCCTACTCCTCTGGGATCCTGACCGCCGTCTTGCCCTGCCTGGCCTACGACGACCGCAAGAAAAGTATCCTTTGCTCTGGAGAAAGGAAACGAGAGCAGCCCCACAGGGCGCTGTAAAGCTGCAGGACCCTGGAGTAGGGGTGGGTCTCCCTTGGGATGGGTCACCTCCAAATAGTCCCTGGGATCAAGGGAACAGGGGGTGTCACTGAACACAGACTGGGAGCGCCAAGACAGCACCGAAGCTGTCCCTGCTTACAGATCTGGAGCAGCTCCCTGGACCCACACTCCCAACCCGAGCTCACACTGCCCAGCCAGGGTGGGGAAATCCTGTTGGTGGGACGTCCACCAGGAAGGGGCCCTACAAGTCACAGGAGCATCCTGAGGGGACACCAGTGTGGCAGGAGGACACGCACTCTGTTCAGACTGCCTGTCTGCCCACTAACGTGCCTCTGAAGAGGACCGAGCCCTGACCAATGCCAGTGCACTCGGGCCTAGGGCAGCCCCCCGATGGGGATGCTCCTTACATCAGTGGACCCAGGCATCAAGGAGGTGGCCAACGTGTGCAACCAGAGCCTGATGAAGCTGGTCACCCCTGAGGACGACGAGCCTGAGGAGCCAAAGCCAGTGGTACAGAGGCAGGCAGACCCCAACCCCGATGACTCCTTGGCGAAGCAGGAGGGGACAGGCAGTGGTGAGTAGGCTTTGCCTCCTGCCCCCACCCCCCAGGCCGGGCACCAGGGAACCAGAGGTTGTAGTTGATTTGGGGCCTCACTAACTACTTCCCATATGTTAACTCATGACAACCCAATAAGGTAGGAAGTGCTATTGTCCCCATTCTACCGACGGACACGGGAAGATAGATAACACGACCAGGACCTGGCAATTGCTAAGTAGCAGAGTTGAGATTTGAACAGTGGCAGTCTGCCTACAGAACCTGTGCTCTTAACCCTTCTGTTTTAAAAACCATTACTCCTCTCTTTAATCTTTCCCTGGGCTCAGCTACAGAAATCGTTTCCCGTGTGGGAAGGGTGGAGTGTGGCAGTACAGGGCTCTTGAATCTTGGCTGTAGACATGCAGCAACCCAGAAGCTGGCTGCTCTTACTGCGCCCGTCATCCTCACAGAGGGGGCTTATTCAGTCCCTGGGAATTCTGTCAGAATCAGTCTTTAAAAAATGAAATGGCGCTGCTCTCCTTTCAGACTCCTTTAATATCATTGTCTTGTTTCTCTGTAACATGAAGAAAACCATGTTTCTGCCGATGGGAGTCCGGAGTTTGACCCTCTAAGTGTCATCTAGAGCTGACTGTTTTTCTCTCTTGGATGTCTGTCCTCACTGAGAGGTCCTGGTCAACTTTGGGGTGATGTTCTCCTTCACAGAATCAGCCAGAGAGTAAATTGATACGGAACCTACTCAGATCTGTAAGCCTGGAACTTTCTCCCAGGAGCCGAAAGAAAGAATCACTAACGCGTTTTCTCCCATGGCCACTCTGTCTGAGCATTTCAGACACACGTGCCCCTGGGCCTCCTCCCATGGGTGTGGCATGCTGGATTCTTTCAGGTGTCACATTACAGCAGGGCCTGGCCTCTGTGGGCCACAGTAGCAAAACAGCTAGAGGCAGAGCAGCACGCAGCTGGAGCATTGGTGGTTCAGTGGTAGAATTCTCGCCTGCCACGCGGGAGGCCCGGGTTCGATTCCCGGCCAATGCAGCAGCTGGAACCTTTTTTGGCAGCTCCTTGAAAAAGAAAACTTGGGGAGATAAGTGAGTAGGAGCCTCCCAAGGCAGGAGCTTTCTTTCTGAGAGATATTAGAAGAATCTCAGGCAGAGACATATTTTGTGAACTTTCACTGATGTCTGAGTATTTTTTCATCTTTTCATTTTTTATTCTCGTTTTAGAAAATTTGGAAAGTGGGGGAAAATATAAAGAAGCAGGACTGTTCCCACCAAGAGGCAATCAGTATTATAATTTTGGCATACTTTTTGCATTATATGTATTTGAGGTCATACAGCTTGTTCAGGGTGGGGCAAAAGTAGGTTTGCTTATGTGGCAACCAGTCAGGCCTCTGGAAAGGAACCACCATCCTGTCGTCGTGGTAGCGGCCGAGAAACCAGCTGGAGCGTTGGTGGCTCAGTGGTAGAATTTCTGCCTGCCACCCAGGAGGCCCGGGTTCCATTCCTGCCCAAGGCGGCATAATCATCTCATGTTTTAGGTAGCTTTCCTTAGCTTTCTGGAAACAGCTCCCTGCTCGGGAGAATCTTATCTTAACCAAGATGCATGCAGGCAACTTGGCTTCAGATTTTACTGCCTCATAAACAGCCTTTCGACAGACACAGAGCTCACTTTACGGTAGTTCCCAGAGATGGCAACAGGTAATTTGGGGCTCCGCATCCACTCCAGCCTGCTTGTAACTAACCAGCACTTTACCAAGGTGCCAGCAGGCTAGGAGAGTGATGATTTAACCAGTCGACAGGTGCATCCCAACCTGCGTCCTTCCTCCAGTTGTTCTGTTCCTCTCTTCCAACCGGGTCCCCCTTGAGAAGGCAAGAGCCTCCTGCCTGCTCTCCCTCACCTGTGTCTCCCTCCTGGCTCAGTCTGTCGCTGCATCCCACGGCACGCCTCTGGGCCACACCCACGGGAGCTTGTCAGCCAGGCCCTCTGTGGGTGAGCACGCACTCACACACACAACTCACACACACTGCTCCCTCACCTCTCACCACTGGCTCCGGTTGGGCAGGCTCCCGTGGGTGCCACGCTGCGCCCAGGCCTCTCTGCTTTCTCTGGCTCTCCCTCAGCCCTGCTGCTGGTGGGGGTCCAGGGCAGGGTCCCTCTCTGACTGTGAATTCCCGTGGCACGTGATGTATCTTCCCTGTCCCTCTCCGTGACTTCCCCAGTTGTCGCAGGTGTCGTGACCTGGATTCTGGGGCCAGAACCCCCTGCCGCTGTCCGGCTCTATTAACTACCTGTCTGTTGCCTTGGGCCAGTGGCTTGGTCTTTCTGTGCCTCTGCCTCCGTCTTTGTTGAAGAGGGCAGAGGTGATAACACAGCCTGCAGTGTGATGGCGAGTTTCAGACAAGAGCTTTGCATGTAAAGCTCTTAGCACATGAGAGAGGCACTCAGTTATGGCGCTTTAGTGTCCGGTTGCTTTCCTTCCGGTTATAATAGATCCATCTCCTTAGCAGTGTCCCCTTGTTTTTATCACCAGTCTTGCCCAGGTGGTAATGGGCCCCTACTGGATCCTAAAGGAGGGAACGGAGAGGGTCGGGGTTGAGGTTCATGTGGCAAGTGAGGAGCAGAGCTATAAATAGGGCTTCCGTGGAGGGCTGGTGACTGGGCAGCATGTGATGGGTCCATCCATTGCAGAGTTCTGTTGCAGTGGGTGTGTCAGCACCTCCTGTGGGCTCTGCAGATGCAGGCGATGAGGCCTGGAACCTGCCTGCAGGAGCCCAGGGCAGGTCTGCAGGTGAGTCACCGTGTGACTCTGGGCATGATCACAGGGCCGGCTGCCAGGCTTCAGCGAGGTTATTTGAACTGGATCCTTTCTTTCTCTTTAGCTTCCACTCTCCCCCCATCCTCACCCCCATTTTACACTCTAATTATAAAGGAAATACACGTTCCCTTAAGAGATTTTGGGGAAGAAACAGAGACATTCCTACTGGGCGAAAGCAAAAAGTAAACAAGTTAAATATATTGTCTGGCAAATACATTTAGCAGCGTGCATCAAAGGCCTTAACTATTTAAGAATTTCTTTCTTAGGAAATAAATAGGTAAGGTTTTTCCTTTTTAACACCTAACAGATGGTAGCTCATTTATGGTCATAGCAAGCCTGTGGTGTCGACACTGTCATCACCCCACTATCCAGGTGAGGAAAAGTCAAGGGTCGCACAGCCAGAAGGAGGGGAGTCAGGCTCACACCAGTCCCAGGGGCCTCAGAGTCTCTGCTCATAGCGATGTTTACACTGCGGTTCTCTGACGAGGTAATGAATACAAAGGGCAGCCCAAGGTGCTTGGCCTGACTGGGGTCCCAGAATTGCAAAGGAAAACAATGTATGGTTTTTATTCAGCTTGGCAAACATTTAAAAGATTCCTGGTATCCCCTGTGGGGCTTGTGGGAATGACTACGCCTCCATTCTTGAATATATATCGGTAGGACCTTCCTAAAGGGCCACTTGGCAATATTGGTTGGGGTGTCAGATGCCTGAACATTCTACCAGCAGCCCCCGTGTTCCTGGGATCCTGGAGAGATGCTTACCCTCGTGCATAAGGAAGCACGGGAGCGATGTAAACGAAATTAGGAAACAATCGAAATTAATTGGAAGCCAGCTTCCGACATCACATCATTTCATCTATAAATAGGTGTGTTTCTGAAAAGCGAGAGGGGAGAGGCCGCCAGAGGCATGGAGCTCCAGCTGCTTTTCCAGGCCGCTGGTCCAGGCCGGCCTGCCTCTCCCCCCTCCCCTTCACCACACACTCCCTGTCCCTGGGGCTGCTCAGCAGGTCCGGCTCGTGCCCAGCCCTTCCTGCCCCCACCGCGCTGTGCCACGTCCCCCAAAGGTTCTCTCAGCTCAGATTTTCTGCTGAACGTGAAATGAAGGTCCCCTTACTGGGGGCTGAGGGTAGCTTCACATCCATACCTAGAATAGCACCGCTCTAAGACATAGTACAAAGTGAAAAAAGCAAGTTACAAAAGACAGTCTCTGATTCCATTGATGTTTCCAAAACAAAAAGGAGGATTCAGTTTCCTGCGCGGAGAGTGAAGATCAAAGGCTGAGGAGGACGGGCTTGGCTCTGTTTTTGACATTTTTAGAGCGAGAAAAGGTTTTCCTGGTATAACTTAAAACTGTGAAGGGGCCAAGGCTGGTACCATTTGAACAATATAAGTAATAATAGTTTTAATTTGAACCCACAGAATAAAGCATCTATGGGTCCGTAATGATACAGACGGGTGGATGGGTAGATTGCTAGATAAATGGAGAAGGGACAGCTCTTCCTTAGAGCTGGCAGCTGCTCAGCCTTTCCGGGAGTTGCCAGTCTGGTGTCCATTCCCAGCAGCAGTGTCTGCGGCTTCCAGTTTCCCCCGTCCTCACCACCAGGTGTTACTGTTACCTCTCGTGTATGTTAGCCATCCTCGTGGGTGTGAAATGGCATCTCATTGCAGTTTTGCTTTACATGTCCCTGGTGGCTGACGATGTGGAGCGTCCCAGAAGTCACGTTTAACATCCGTGCCTTCGGGCCAGAAGTCACTTCTGACCTTCCCCGGATGTGTCCGGTGCTGGTCTCTCTCCTTGCGAGGTCACGTGCCTAAACTCGTACAAGCCTGGGTCCTCTCCCCACGCTTTGGGGCATGAGCAGGCCTTGGGTCCTCAGGGCTCCAGAGCCATGTCCCTTGTCAAGGGCCAGAATCAAGGTGTGGGGGACTGAGAGTCTGTTTTTATAACCGGGATCTTGTTCATTCGAAAGACCCCAGCAGCCTTTAGCATGACACATTGTTCCTCTTGCTCTCCCAGGAGGCCCCGATGTGTCTTGTGACTCCAGCTTCAGTAGTGGCATCAGTGTCTTCTCTCCAGCCAGGTGAGTGGGTTGTTCAGCCAGAGGTGTTTGTGGAAAGCCAGCAGCCTAGACCTTTCTGGGTGCAGGAAACTGCAGTGAAGACCCGAGGCAAACTGCGTGGGGCCACCACTTATGGGCACAGGAGGTGCCTGGTGAGGGGATCTGAGACACGGAGAAAGCCCGCCCCACACAGCTCTGATGGACAGATAGCTGTCAGAGGAGAGTGGGGGTTAGAAGCATAACTAACACGTGGTGACTGCAGTAGGACACTTACAGACACCGCTGCCCAGCACCTTTTGCTTGTCCAGGAGAATGCGGGGCTGACAAGACTGACATGGGAAGGCTGTCTGAAGACAGTCTGGATTACAGGCGGCAATTGGTTGAGTCCAAGTGCATGGACACGGACTGTGTGGGCAACAGGAGCTGTCCTCCTCTAGGCTCCTGGGTCGGTGTGATTGCACAGCCTTCCACATGGGGGCAGTGCAGGCCAAGCATTGAGATCATTCCCTTCCTTCCAGCCCCCTCCCGAGTCTGCAGGGTGACGGCATTCCCCTGGGGAAGGAATCGTCACCGTGCTGTCCTTGTCGGAGTAACTCTGAGGACGTGGCCCATCTCGCTTTTTCCTTGGGTGGAATGGGCACTGGTGGGGCCGGAATGGATGGTGATGCTCCTGCAAAGGGCTTCTTCCCTTTGAACTCAGGCCTGGAAACCAGTCCCTCAGGAAGGAAAAATGCACTCAATCCCAGGAGGCTCTGTTCTCCCCAGACCCTTAGGATCTTCCTCCTTTTACATCATTTTCCATTTATTCTTCTCTCGAAGGACCCTGTGTCTTTTCCAAGTGTGCAGGTGCTGATCACAAACACGCACTACTCCTAGGGCCATTCGCAAGTTGTTCAAGCAAACCAGTAAGCATCCTTCATTCACTCGTCTCGGTTAGTTGTCATGTGCTCCAGCACCTGCCTGTGTTCAACCCTGCAGGTTCCAAGGGGGAGATACCGCCCCTGAACATGGTCCTCGACCTTGAGGTTCTCTGTGGGGAGGCAGAGAAATAATCAGGAAGGTGCCAGAAAGGGTAGTGATTGCTATGACAGGGGACTCCAGTGTTGGGGGCAAGCGATGGCACCTGAGCTGCGGCTGGAATGGTGGCTGACGGGGATGAACGCTCGGAGGCTGCGTGCTTCCTAAGCCCTTGCCGTGCCGGCTGCTTTGTGTCACATCATTAGACTTTGCCGACGTTTAAATCCCATGGGGTCCGGGGTGTTATTATCTGCATGTTAGGGCCGAGGAGGGACAGGAGATCCCCGAGCTGCTGTGCAGAGAACTGACTAGGAAGGATTCGGGAGCATACAGACTGGTCAGGAGGGCTAGAGGCGCAGCCTGAAGGGGTGGCAGCGTAGGGAGGAAGTTGCATAGATCTGAGATCTGTTTTGAAGGTAGAACAGACAGAATCTGCTAGTGGGTTGGAGTGAAAGGAGAGAAGTGACAGAAAGAATAACTTCTAGGTTTGGGGCTTGAGCCAAATCAGGATACCGTGGTGTCATTTCCCAAGTGGGAAGGAGGGGCAGGTGAGTGAGGGCCAGTCAGGAGCTCTGTCAGAGGTGGCTCTGAACATCCCCTAGAGCGGTTAAGGGGGCAGATGTGGGGGGCGAATTCTGGAACGTGGGGTGAGGTCTGGATGGAGAAGCAGGGAGACAAGTGTCCCACAGAGGACATAGACCTGTGCTTTGGGGGCTGTGGAAGCCAGCAGTACCGGGAGTGAGGGCCACACCTGTGGTTTAGAAGACCCTCTGGCAGCCGGGGGAGGATAGGTGAGGGAGAGGGCAGGCTGACAGCGGAGGGCCTGTTGCAGACGCGTCACTGTAACCAAAGCTACAGGGATTGTCCTGGGCCCGTGGTCGGCAAACTGCGGCTCGCGAGCCACATGCGGCTCTTTGGCCCCTTGAGTGTGGCTCTTCCTAAGCCTTAGGAGTACCCTAATTAAGTTAATAACTATATACCTACCTATATAGTTTAAGTTTAAAAACTGTGGTCTCTCAAAAGAAATTTCAATCGTTGTACTGTTGATATTTGGCTCTGTTGACTAATAAGTTTGCTAACCACTGTCCTAGTCCATGGGAGTCCTTGTATCTGCATCTCTCTCTCTCTCTCTCTCTCTCTGTCTCTCTGTCTCTCTCTCCACCAGGCAGGTCCTCCTCTCTCGTAGGGGAGTCCCACTTTCTAGGCGTACATCCTGACTCCACCTTGCCTGGTGTGTGGCTCTGGGCAAACAGCTTGACCTCTCCCTGCCTCGGCTTCCTCGTCTGGAGACTGGGTGTGATGATGGCACCGACTTCATAAAGGCCTGAGCCTAAGTGAGCTGAGCCGTGTACAGAGCATAGGATGGGCCTGGCCCACAGAAAGCACTGTACACTTTCTGCTGGAATTGTTATTACGAGAACCTCATTATTAGCCCCACTTTACAAATAAGGAAACAGGCCCAGAGAGGTTAACTTTTGCCCAGTCATTCAGCTAATTAGTGGCCATGTTGGAACTCCAGCTTGGTCTGTCTGACTCCAGAGCCCACGCGGTAACCTCTGTTGCTCGTGGCTGGAGAGCTGCAGGAGCTCTGCACATTGGCCCCGTCAACTCCCCGACACGGGAGCCCTGGACGGCTTTGCCGTGTGAGCAGGCTTCTGATGCTGAGGGCCATGGGGTCGTCGGGCATTCAGCGCAGGTCCCTGTAAAGCCGGGGCCCTGCACATAAACTAGGCAAGCACTTGGATCTAGAAATTGTACTTCCCAACTTTTAGCATCTGCTGATTGGAAAAAAGGTAGAAACAATTCTTTTTTTTTCTTTTTTTTTTTCTTTTTTTTAGTTTTAGCTTCCTTTTGAGATATGACATGTGAGTGCTATGAAGAGTTAGACATTACAGAAATAAAGTGCTGCCTCCCAGAGAGAACCCCTGGAATTTACCGTTATTTATAGGTAGTGTCGGAAGCATTATTCAGTAAAGAGGTATTTTAATAGCCACTGCAGCGCCATGCATTTGGAAACTGCAGCACATGCCCAAGCACGACATTCGTTATGCGACGCTTTATGAAAAAGCGCTCAGCGAAAGGGGCTTTGCAGACACCTTGAAATAACCCAGAAGCCCCAAGAGTGATTGGTCTAGACTTGTTGGAACCCACGCAGAAACGTGTTTTAAACTGAGTAAACCAGGGCAGGGGTGTCCCGTGTCGGGCTCCAGCCCAGCAGCTCGAGCTGAGCACACCACGCAGCATGCGCTCCCCAGGAGGGGCCCGCTTTCCAGAGTCCTCGCTCCCCACTGAGCGTGCTCAGAACCCAGCACACAGCAGCCCAGAGCCGCCTCGGAGGCAGGTGGGATCATCAGTTCTCCCCTTCCCAACTCCGAGATCAGTCTCCCGGTGTGTGCCTGCTTCCTCGACCTTCACCTCCAGCCAGTCACGGAAGTGACACCCTGGAGAGTGTCTCCAGCTGAGAAAGGAGTTCTCGGTGCCTCTCTCGGCCTCGGTTTCCTCATCTGTGCATTGAAGGATCCGGTTACGTGAGCTGTGAGGTCCTTTCAGTTACATAGTGTGGTTCACGCCTCCCCCTCCAGCAGCCTGAAGGCCCCGTGCCTGGGAGGTGTGCTGTGGCCGGCATTGGCTGTGAGAGGAGTCAGAGACTCTTATGCCAGTTCCATGCAGACTCCTTAAAATCCTCCCTTTGTTATTTGGCCCTGACAAAGGGCACCTGAGGGAGATGCCACCACGGGCTGATGCTTGCTTTCTGCCCTCAGAGACACTGAGCTGGCCGGAAGCATCTCAGGACCGTCCAGCCTGGGGATCACTAGACTTGGGGTGTCCCCCATAGACACCAGCTTCCCCAGTGTCCCCTCTCCCTCACGGAGACTTGGTCTGCCGTCCTGATAAGAAGATACACTGAAAAGTGTGTGTGACAGCCCCTTTCTTCCTCCACACGTGGGGCTGCCATCCTGCTGCCCCTGCCAGGGGACAGTTGGAAGCGATGCCACCATGGACTCTCCTGAGCCTGGCCCTTTCGGGCAGGGGGTCCAGGTGGTCAGGAAGGCCAGCCTGGACTCAGACTGCCAGCTCCACCACTTCCTGTGTGCGACCTTGTGCAGGTTACGGATGTCTCTGTGCTTCCGCTTCCTGGTCTACAGAATGGGAATAACATTGTATGGGCCTCAGGGAAATGAGGCTCTGCAGGTACAGAGCTCAGCACAGTGCCTGACAGTGTTTACCCAAGAAACGTGAGTTACCATTTCCAGTACCACGCCCTCCTCATTGTTACCAGGGCCCTGCGTCTCCCCCACCCCCAGCCCGAGGTTCATACACACCCCGGGGCCGGAACTGCCAGTGGAGTAGTGGGGGCTGGCCTTGGCCCTGCCTTCCGCCCCACCGGCAGCTCAGGACAATGCCAGTGCTGCACCGTGCAGCTCTGAGTCCCCAGGAAAGTAGACACAAGGCCCCTCCTCCCAGGGGAGTCATTTTAACTAAGAATGGGGCAGGCACAGGGTACTCCTTCCAGCCGGCAGCCAGAGCGTGGCTCTCCTGCTGGGGAAAGGGACTCACCAGGCCTGACCTCGGGCTCGGGGAGTGAGGGAAGCCGGAGCGGAGGGTTGGTTTCTGTTCATTCCCCACTGTCTCCAAGCTCCTGCCTTGGTGAGGCCTTAGGCTCTGTCGGCTTCTGGCATCCCGCTGCCCAGGGTCCCTCCAGCAGGGAGAGGAACTGAGAGGGAGCTCCCTGCAGAGAGCCGGTGGGGGCCCGCAGGATGGGGAAAGCAGGACTTGGAGATAAGACAGGAAGTAGATCCTGGCAGGGAGAGGGATTGTCTAGGAAGTTGTTAGACAAAGAGAAAATGCTTAGGGAGCCCTGGCTGGGCTGCCAGCCTGCTGCTGTGGAGCTGTGCTGTCCATGCGGAAGCCACTGTCCCGCGTGGCTCCCGAGCTGTGCAGTCACCATGAAACGCACTGGGTTTCAAAGAAAAAAAATATACGGTACCTTATTAGTGACCTCTATATTTCATATCAGTTACATGTTGAAACGATAATATTTGGGGTATATTGGGTTAATTAAAATGTATTCATTTCCGTTTCTTTTTACTTTTTAATACAAAACCAGAAAACGTAAAATTCCATGTGTGGTTCCCATTGTATTTCTCTTGGACAGTGAGCATGAGAGAGAGGTTGAGTGAGAGGGTGGTGGGAGCCCGCGGGTGCCGCCCTGACTGTCTGCATGTGCGGGAGTTCCCTGACCCTCTAAGACAGTGGTTCTCAACCTTCTGGCCCTTTAAATACAGTTCCTCATGTTGTGACCCAACCATAAAATTATTTTCGTTGCTACTTCATAACTGTAATGTTGCTACTGTTATGAACCGTCATGTAAATATCTGATATGCAGGATGGTCTTAGGCAACCCCTGTGAAAGGGTCGTTCGACCGCCAAAGGGGTCGCAACCCACAGGTTGAGAACCGCTGGTCTAAGGCCACCAAGGACCTGGATGCTGGGTGTCCTCGGAAGACCCCAAGAACTTCCCACCTCGGGGCTCCCGGGGAAATCTCAGTGGCAGCCCTGGCCAGAGGCTCAGGCCTTTCGCTGCCAGAGGATGGAAGTGCCCAGGGTAGCCCCCGAAACGAGCGCTATGGGGAATCATCAAACCATATTAAGTAGCAGTTCCGTTTAGCACTTACAAAGCTCAGAGCTGTTCCCTTTAGGAATTCACATCAAATGGCTTCAGAGAAGCTGCAGGCGAGTTAGGGAAGCACAGGCCTGGAGCTCCTGGTGCCAATGAATAATTGAGCAGCCTGGAAATATCACGGGAGGCCGTTCTGTACGGCGGGAACTGGGCCCGGCCTGGTCCTCGGGAAAGGGCCCTGTCACCCCTTCGTGGCACCTGTGGGCGAGTGCAGTGTAACGCCTCGGTGGGAGAGCAGCCCCTCCCTAGCAGCCTCAGGTTTCCTGCCCATGCCGGCCCCATCCCCGAAAACTCCGGCCTCTGGCCCATGTCCCAGCAGCACCAGCCTTCTCGGCTGCCCAGCGGCACTCCCTGCCTGGAGACCAGCAGGGCTTCTGCCAGGAAGGCCGGAGTCTGTGTCCCTCTGAAGCAAAGCACGGTCTGCACAGCTGCGTTTCTCAGGCCAAGGCTGACTTCCGGCTAAGGGGAATGTCACAGCTTCAGGGCAACGCAAGGCTTCTCACTCAGGCTGCCCTGTGCTCAGTGCCCTGGGGGACGACAGACAAAAGCCACGGTCCCTGTTCTCCCTTGAGAAATGTTCCCCAGGTGCCTTGGGACGGCGCTGTGGGGCTAAGGGCTGTCATCGGGGCCTTTTCCTGGCTTTGTGGACACGGTGGTTTTACTTACCATGGAGGGTGCTCCCCGGCCTCCAGCCCTGAGGTCTGCGGGGCCCAGCCCAGTGACACTGGAGAGGTTACCTACCATCAGGCTAGTGCTGGTCGAGAAAAGGGGGAGTGGGTGGGCCCCCGGAGCCTGGCCCTCTTCCTCCCAGTGTGGTTCCCAGGAGGGAGAGAAGCCTGGCGGCGGTGTGTGCCATCTGCGCTCTACGCCCAGAGAGCAGGCAGGACGTGGTTCTGAGTGTGCCGGGTTGGGTGGTGCTGGGCTCGCTGGGGAAGCTGCCGTGGCCTCAGCTCCTCGGTCTCGCCCCCAGCACGGAGAGGGCCCCGGTCACCCTCCACCTCGACGGGATTGTGCAGGTGCTGAACTGCCACCTCAGCGACATGGCCATCGGCATGATGACCCGGATCGCCGTCCTCAAATGGCTTTATCACCTCTACATCAAGACGCCCCGCAAGGTGAGCCCCAGCCTCGTGGGCCCCGAGGTCCCTCCAGCCCGGGGCGCTTTCCGGGTCCACCTTGGTCTCGAGGGCCTGCCCCTGCTTGGTCAGGTTTGGGTCATTGCAGCTCCGGAGAAACCCTGACAAGCAGGGGGGTGACAAGTGCTTGAGGAACCTTCAGTGCCGGGGGTAGGGAAGGTGGTCCATGCAGGGGACCCTGTCCGAGCTGAGCCAGGGCCTGGAGCAGGGGTCCTCAAACTTTTTAAACGGGGGGCCAGTTCACTGTCCCTCAGACCGTTCGAGGGCCGGACTGTAGTTTAAAAAAAAACTGTGAACAAATTGTTATGCACACTGCACACTGCACATATCTTATTTTGAAGTAAACACAACGGGAACAAATACAATATTTGTATTTGCATGTGGCCCGCGGGCCGTAGTTTGAGGACCCCTGGCCTGGAGCAAGGTAGAGCTCACGGTGCCCTGCTCTCTGCTCCGCAGATGTTCCGGCACACAGACAGCCTCTTCCCCATCCTCCTGCAGACGCTGTCGGATGAGTCGGACGAGGTAAGTCCACACACCCCTCCCCTGTGACGTGGCTGCCTGGCCGTCCCTTTGAATGATGGGGATCTTGTAGCCGAGAGGTGCTTCTTTCGTTCTCTTCAGTCAACCCCCAGAAAGTGCCTTGTTCTCGTGCCTGGTAAGGTGCACCAGGCAGAGGGAAAGCTGTGTTTGCTGCCCTTGGCTTTGAGAATAAGGACTCCTCCTCTGTGGGCACCGAGGAAACCAGTCTGCACAGGGAACTCGCTGGCCCAGGAAGGCAGTGGAGAGTGACAATGGGGAGCATGACTGTGGGTCAGGCGCCAAGTGCTAGGTCAGGGCTTGCTTCATTGCCTGCACTTGAGCAAGTCACATCTCGACCCTGCATCTCTTTTCTCCCGTGTTCAGTGGGGTAGTAAACGCACATGGTGGTGAGAATGAAATACTTCTCAGAACATGCCTCGGTGCCAGGCTGCGCACACCCTGAGCACTCTGAGTGCTGGTTGTGATATGCACTGCAGCTGGGCTCCGTTTTAACCTCAAGTTTGAAGTTGGATCCTTCTGCTTTGCTTTGTTGGGGTCACCAAGAGCTGCTGGTGCAAAGGGGAGAGGCTGGCCCAGAGTCCAGGCAGCAGAGTAACCCCGAGTGGGAAGCTGGTGGGGGTAGGGTGGGGCTGGGCTCTGGGCCCTTCTGCTGTCTCGGGGCTCCTCCAGCCGCACCCCTTTCCCCACACCATTCTCGCAGGATTCTGTTCCGGGGAGTTAGGGTAGGTGAGTCCTTTTTCAGGGGCAGGATTTGCAGCTGGGCATTGCCACTTGCCAGGGTGGCATCCCGTCTCTCCCCACGCCAGCTCCAGGCTGCAGGTCAGATGCTGGCTGCTGCACCTTCGCATCCCTGCTTCCTTCCTCCAGGCCCTGGGCAGCTGTTGTCCTCCAGGAGGTTGTGGGTCCCTGACTACAGTCTCCCACAGTGCCCATTGGGAACGTGGGAGTGGACAAGGCTGGAGGGCGGGGGAAAGAGAGGGACGTGGCTCACAGCTTCTGTGGAGTAAGCCACCTCGGACCTCCCTGGTCTGGTACCAGGCTTGTGTGGGGCCCTGTACCAGGGCAGCTGTCCTCAGCCTAAACCTGAGCTGAAAGGAGGTGCAGACATGCAGGTCTCTGCCGCTAGGTCCTCTCAGGCAGCGGTCGCCAGACAGTGGTCCGTGGACCACTGTGGTCCGTGCGGTCCAAAAGGTTGGCGACCGCTGCTCAAAGGTACTCTGCCTTTCCAGAAAAATCCGAAGCAGATGGTCTAGGAATCTGCCCTTGACCCCTCTGGCCTGCCCAACACATACACACACACATTCAAACAGCTACACACGTGTGCACACACACCCTCTCTCCCTTTCCCCACCACCCACTGCAGTGCGAGCCCAGGTGGACTTGGCCCCGTTCTGTCTGAATTGAGAGTGACTCACTGCACAGTCACAGCCCTCATTTCAATACAGAAAGGAAGAGAAGAGCTTGGTTGATTGGTTCTCTCCCTAGGATCTCACTGGAAGCAGCTGAGTTTTCAGTCTTTTAAATGGAGTTGTTTAATCCCATCCAGCTCTCTGCTTGCAGTTGGTTTTGTGTGCGTGAGCGTTTAGAGGGAGCGGGAGGAGATGCAGTCCATTAAACAGCTCTGTTCGGGTCTCAGCTATGGAAACTCCATTTGCTGAAGCTCCAAATGTTGTCAGAGCTTTGGGACACATCATGTGGGTCTCGGGTGCGGCTAGGATTGCAGCTGCTCTTGGGGACAGTTGCGGGGGTGGGTGGGGTGGGAAGGAAAGAGTCCCTGCTTTCCCTCTGGGGCAGCGGTTCTCAACCTGTGGGTCGCGACCTCTTTGGTGGTCAAACGACCCTTTCACAGGGGTCTCCTAAGACCATCCTGCATATCAGATATTTACATTACGATTCATAACAGTACCAACATTACAGTTATGAGGTAGCAACGAAAATAATTTTATGGTTGGGTCACAACATGAGGATCTGTATTTAAAGGGCCAGAAGGTTGAGAACCACTAGGGGAATGGTTGGGACCTCGGTAAACAGTGGTGAGTCCTGATTCTGCCACATCCTGCTTCTTCACCAGAATCACATTCCTAAGCGTCCCCTGCCCAGTCTCTTTGGCAACTTTGAGGGCTTACTGGGTACTTGGCAATGGACAGCCAGCCATGAACAAGACAATGTCCCCTTCTCCTGGGATATCTAGAACAGCCCTGATATCAACTCAGAGCTCCCTGGGGTTCAAGACTCTGAAGGCCATTCATTCAGTCAAATCAGACCACAGCCAAACCAGGCGGGGGCTGGGGGCGGAGTTCCTATTAAAGGCTCTTGGAGTCTAACAGACACAACAGTCCCTGCGAGGTCCTTCGTCCAGCCTGGGGCCTCGAGGCACAGCTTTTCCCACGTCTTGGATGATTCCTAATAGCAGCTTACTGTCTGAAGCCATTCCTCCGCAGGGACTGCTACACCCTTCACTCAGAGTATTGAGAGAGGCCTCAGCAATTCTGTGGGAGAGTCCTTTTTGTAGTTCAGAAAACGAAGGCCTGGGGAGGTTAAGTAGCTTGCACGCCTGCACACAGCTGGGAAGTGGTGGAGCACACTCAGAACCAAAGCCCATTCCCTTAGTCACATAGCTACCATGCCTGGGTGTCACCACATGTGGCCCTGGCTGCCCCCATCAGAACCAGCTGGGGAGATGGGGCACTCGTGTCTAATTGTATCCTCCTCATTTCTTTCCACTTCCTCTTGTTCTACAAGTTCTTGAGAGGAATTCTGTTTGGGGTGTTAAGGGGCGTGTATTCTGAGAAAGGTCTCCCTTTAGCCCCCAGGCCCTTTGTCCACTTTTCTTATTGATTTCTAGATGCTCTTTGTATACTGGAGACATTAGATTCATCATCTTGTTGCAGATGTTTTTCTCTCCCAGTATGATTGTGATCACTCTTGGTGAGAGCCCTTGGCCTCAGGAGACAGAGTGTAAGCAGGTGTTAATGATGCAAGAGCTGGGCTCAGGGAGGGGCGAGGCTGCAGAGACCTAGCTCTGCCCTCCACCAGGTTCCGTAGTCCCGCCAGCACCTGGTCCCGCGGGTATGTCTTGTCTGCTACTGGTCCTCCCTTCTGTCCCGGTGCCAGCTCAGTAGTACACAGCCTCTGACATCCTCAGTTGTCTCTGCTTTCCCGTTGTTCAGGATAAGTGTCTGTTTGCTCAGTACCGCCTGCTCCTTGCAGACTTTGTCTGAAATTCCCTTTCATCAGAAAGAATTTGAAGGTGTCAAATTGATATTCTTAGCACCAGAATAGAAATCCTCCCATTAGCTAAAGCTCCAAGTGCGCCCTGATTCAACAGCGTGGAATGCAGGGCACATGCTCAGAGCTTCCTACTGGACGCTGGTGGGGGGTCGGGGCCCCTTCTCCCCCTGCCGGGAAGATGGGGTTGTTGGCTGCCTCCCGAGCCTGAGCTACCTGAGTGAGCACTGCCCGTGAGCCCCAGAGGATGGGTCCTGCCCATGTTCCTGATGGTGTGGCTGGCCCGGGAGGGGTCTCCTCACTCCTCACCCCCGCCCACTCCCTAGCACAGCGATCTCCCACCCCTCATTTAAAATCCTCAAGGTGTAACGGTGGGTGCTTGTCATTATACATTTGTCCACACCCACAGAACGTACACGAGGAGGACTCCTAATGTCAACTATGGATTTGGGGGGACAATGATGGCATCAGTGTAGGTTAATCAATTATAACCAATGTGGTGGGGGATGGTGATAGTGGGAGAGGCTTTGCAGGGGCAGGTGTATGTGGGAAATCTCTGCCTCCCGTTCAGTATTGCTGTACACCTAACACTGCTCTAAAAATAAAGACTATTTCAAACAAACGAACAGAAATGTAGCACTTTTTTTTTTTTATCTCAGTCTTAGGGGAGACCTGGAGGGAGTCTGGTTGTCTCTGACTGAACATAGTGTCTAGGCCAGTGATGGTGATCCTATGACACGTGTGTCAGGTGACACATGAACTCATTTTTTTGGTTGATTTTTCTTTGTTAAATGGCATTTAAATATGTAAAATAAATATCAAAAATATAAGTCTTTGTTTTACTATGGTTGCACATATCAAAAAATTTCTATATGTGACACGGCACCAGAGTTAAGTTAGGGCTTTTCAAAATGCTGACACGCCGAGCTCAAAATGTTCGCCATCACTGGTCTAGGCAGTTGGCCTCCAGACCCGAGCTTGAATCCTAGCTCCTGCCCCTTCTTTCCAGGGCCTCGGGCAGGGTGTCCAACCCCCCTGATTTGATAGATGGGACTACTGATGTCTACACTTGCCTCATAGGCCATTATTTAAAGGGATGGGGAGCCCAGCTGCTTTGACTCAGTAGATAGAGCATCGGCCTGTGGACTGAAGGGTCCTGGGTTCCATTCCTGTCAAGGGCACGCATCTCGGTTACAGGCATGTCCATCCCAACCAAGGTCAGGGCTCGTGTGGGCGGCAACTAATCGTTGTGTCTCTCTCACATCAGTGTTTCTCTCCTCTCTGTCTCTCCCCCTTTTCCACTCTCTCTAAAAAAAAAAAACAGTGGAAAAATATCCTCGGGTGGGAATGAACAAAAAATAAGCCAATAAAGGGATAGTGAAAGGTCCTGCCCAGATCCTGGGCCATCGGAACAGCCTGTCTGTCGTTACAAGTTATTTAGGGAGAAGTCGGGGAATTGGGCTTTTTACTGTGATGAACTCTCCCACCCCGGAGCAGGGCTCATCCCATTTACGTAACTTATCTAGTAACGTTTCAGGGTCTTTTTTGTCGGTCTTACTCAGTATGAAGTTTACTATTGGTGTTTCATATTTTTGTTGTGATTTTGAGTGGCATCCCCTTCTGGTAATATTTTCTCTCCAGTGACAGTGCAGTCTGGTGGTGAGAGCAGGGCTGTGGGGTCTAGAGGTCCCAGAGTCCTGTCCCCGACTTTGCCACTTCGTTGGTTGGCCTTGAGAAGGTGACCTAACCTCTCC